TATTGTTTATTAATTTTTTTATAGTAAATCTATCGTAAGTTTTGCTAAACTATAAATTATATTGATAAAGTTTGTTTATTTTTAAATCTCATGCATTCATTCTTTTGAAAATTCAAAATTTAACTTATCAGTAAAATGTATTGCTGTAATTTGAAATATTCTAGTAATTTTCACAGCAGCTAGTTTTCTCGGAAAGTTATGTGTTCCATGTCATCTTAACTTACTATGCATCAAATAGGCAATTAACTTTCAAAATGTTATCTTAAAATATAAGAAAGAAATGTATAGGAAGAAATGCACAGAATGAATCATCAATGTTAAAAAAATCTCTATAATAAAATAAACTATTTGTTGCAAGAGCTCACCATTTTCTACATCAAATAAAAATATATTATGATAAAGCCATTCTTCTCAATAAGAAAGTTATTTTAAACTTATCAGTTCGTTGAATTAATGTCTTTCATAGACTTCCTATTTTGTTTCTTATCAATTAATCTAACCCTAAAGATGGCTAATTTACTGATTCATTGCAATTTTCAAATTTCTATTCATTCTAATAATCATACCAAATAAACATATTATTATATCGTTGCTTTTCATTTCTTTAGCTTATATTTTAAATAAGACAAATTAGATTGGAAATGTTATCATTTTCAAATTAAAAAAAAATACTAATTGGCCACAATGCAATAAAAATGATTATTACAATCGACAAAAAATTTTTTGGTACTTCAAAGTTTAAAATAACAAGATAATAATAATAATAATAATAATAATAAATGAAAATTTCTCTAATTTAACCCTTTCTGTTTACTGATAAATATGATAACAAACTGGTAATATTCATTCCTGCGACATTATTCAATGTTCGTTATAAACTGTACAGAATAAACTTGTTTGTTAGCAAAAATTTCAATACTCTTCACAAATACAAAAAAATGAAGAAAAAAAGGATTGTTATTTGAGAAGAACTAATTTGTCTTATTTTAAATATGAACTAAAGCAACGATTTGTTTTGTTTTCATTGATTTTTCCACTAAAAATGAAAAGTTTTTTTAATTACAACGAGAAATTATTTCCCTTAAAATTTTTGTTTGAATGATAAATTTCGATAAGATTTTTGTATTTCATTATTCATTCACATTTGTTATAAAAATTGTCACTTTAATTCAATGCTTTTTAAAATACTTTGTTTCTTTCTCTTCTACAATTTCTTTTTGCACAGGTAAATAAATTTCAAGCAAAACTGAAATCAATAAATAAAGTTAGTGTATGATCATTAAACTTTCTTATTGTCTAAATCTATTTCTTCTAAATTTATTTAAATGAGAATCAAATTTTTATTAATTCCTATAAGTGTTACTTTTTTAGCATATTCGATAAATTAATTTATTAGACTTTAAAAAACTGTTTTGTTTCGCTTTCTTTGAAAGAAGCTTTCTTTGAAATATTTCGATCTTTTAAAACTCATTGAAATTTGAAATAGTTTAAAATTTTTAATTATTCATTTGATAAAAAAATGTTTTAGATTACTGTTTATTAAAGAATAGAAATTTTGAGATGCAATTTTTCATTTCATATTTCAACTTTATATCTTTTAATTATTGAAATTATAAGGTATAAGATAAGATCTTCTAACAAAGTAATCTCAAATTAATTAATTTAATATTGCTACTGAAAGTGAGTAATCTATTCGAGAATTTTTATCGGTATAAGATAAACTGGAGGTCAATGTTGACTAAGATTACTAAAATTAAACACTGATATTTTTCAAGTAAAATAATCGAAGACACTGTTACCGTAATTTTTGTCTGTTGCTGATCGTTAGGATATTGTTCAATGAAGAGAATGTCTTTTATTTTTAACTTTAATATGATATTTACATTGAAACATGTGCCATACTGTTCCAATGAATCGTTTTCTTCCATCAATAAACCTACAATTCATGGCTTCTTATAGCGAAAGAGAAAATGCCATGCCTAACTGATTGTATCTTTCCCTTCTTCCTACAGAAAATCTCTGTGAATTTTGATTTATAATTTATAATAAAATTGTATCTTTTTTAAGGGATGAGAGATTTTTAGAAAATATAAGTTCTATTAATTATTAATCTTATGGCTACAACAATTTTAAAGCCTGCGACACTTAAGTTATCCCTTTCTAATTTTTGTATTATTCCGGATTAATTTTTTTGATGTGTCAAATTATGTTTGTATAGGGTAAAATAATTGATGGATAAAATTTTTGATTGAAGCTTGCAGTGAAAGGAAGATTTGTAATTTGTTAACTTTGTTCTTATATAAATGTGAAAATGAAATTGGATTGTGTCTTAGGATGATTTAGTTATAGTAAATAACTTTTTGGTTAGCACAAAGATCCTTTTTCCTAAATTCCATCATAGTCTTATTTTAAATGGAATTTGAGAATTTGCTTTTATCACTCTTTTCTAGAGAGATATTACTTCTTATGGTTGTTTTCTCTTAATAGTTGCTGTGTCTCTCGTTTTGAAGAAATTTACATTTGATGCACTTTATCTGGCTTTTTCTCTGTCTCTGTCAAGCCAATATCGCTTTAGGCAAGGGTAGAAAATTAAATTATCATTTATTAAAGACTAATCTTTTCTACAACATTCAGTATAATGACTATAAACAAGCATTATATTAAATCATCAGGCTGCTAAATGATATGGTATCAGACAAAAGAGTACTTGGAGAATTTCTAGACTTCCACTGGCTGCTAAAAAGATTTTCAAATAAACATTTGCACGCAAGTCCTAATAAATTTACTTTAAATAGAAAAAGTGAGAAAGAAAAATTTTACGTTAAATATAATTTGATTTATCATAAAATAAAACAATATCTGACAGTTGCAAGTCATGAAATTTATTCTCGTTGATGACTGGAACGAATTTCACACAGAGGTTTTCCATTTTAATTATTATTAATTTGGTTTGAATAAGAGAAATCAATTTCAAAATTATAACAAAAGTTATCTATGAAAAAAAGGAAAACAAATAAAGGTATTAATTAAGGAATTAAGAGAGTATAGAAATTCTTATGATATCAAGCGATTAATACGCCTAATTTCGGCTAATTTTTTGATGTATTATCTTAAAATTAAAATTATATTTTAGACGCCGACGTGTGCCGCATTAGACGTCGACCGAACATCGCAGGAAAAAAATTGGGTTAGAAGGACGAAAACGAAGAAAACACGAAAAGAAAGAATTACACGTTAAGAAAAGGAAAGGATATTGTTGTGTAAACAAAATTGAGAGTTACCAGCAAAAAAGGAAAGAATCTTAAAAAAATAATAATTGACTTTATCTGAAAGATTTCTGTAAACGAAGCGCAATTGTTGAATTAATTCTTTTATGCATTATTATCAGTGCAACTGATATACTGCTCAGATTTTACGAATTGATCGTAGTTGATCCTTCATCAAATATATCGAAATCTTTTCATTCTTTTGAAATTGCTGAAGAAACATCTGTAACAGATGTATTTGCTACTGTGAATAGAAGTATTTGAAGAAGAAGAAAAAGAAGTAAAAAACTCTTTTATTCAAATCTTATTGAGTATAAAAAAACGATCTTTAAAATTGAAAGCTTTTGATCATCAACGATCATTGATAGCTCATCCGCTGTTATCATTATTATAATCAATAATAGTAGGAATATCATCATTCGAGAAGGATAGGAGGCTCAATGCAGTTCACAGTAGCTGTTGTTGTGATCCTCTTCTACTACCGTGACCTAAAATGAACGAATTTTTGAAATTTAGCAAGTCAGAAATTTTAGTTGAAAAGCGCACAAAAGTGCATAACCAACTAATTACTACGCCTACTCCTACTACACTCATTGTTACTACATCTATTAAAACCAATTTTGCAACAACTGCTGAAATTCTCACCAGAAGAACAATCACTATTCAAAAAGCAGAAGAGAAACGAAATTATCGCACTTATCGTACGCAGCAACAAATTATACCGTTGAAGATATTAGAATCAGTACTGTTTCCACTAATTATTATCTTCTACAGTTCGACACTATCAGCAGCTACCATAAGTCTTCCACCAACTGGGATAAATCGTTTTGCTGAACAAGAAATTCAACTTTTAAGGGAAGCATTCTTGAGAAAGTTAGTAGTTTTTTAAGAATCTCAATTTTTTTTTTTTCAAAATATTATGAATGCGTAATTTTACAATATAAAGGATGAACTTTTTACGAAGTTAATATTGACTAATAATCTAATTAACTTAAAGATTATCTTAATGAGATTATCCTTCCATTTGATCATCATTTAATTTTATTTCACCAATTTATTTATACTAATAAGAAATCTTTTTAATATCCAATTTTTATCATTTAGATTTGGAATGAAAGAACAACCAAAACAAACGAAGCCAGCATTACCAGTCCCATATTATGTGTGGAATATTTATGATAAGGTGAAAAAGGAAGATATTGCTTGGGTTCGACATTACTATCCACATAATATCATAGAATCAGATAATAGGTATTATTTTAATTTTACTCGTTAACATTACTTACTTATTATTAGAGTAAATAAATATTGTTACTGCGGTAACTATAATGTATTGCAATATCAGATGATAATAAGTATTTTTAGCACCACGCTACTTCAGTATGATTTATCAGTTTCTGTACGAAATGTTACCAATGAGATAATTGCTCGAGCAGAATTGAAACTAAAATTGAAAAATGAAAAAAATCGAAGACATATCAAGATTTATGAAATTGATCAAAAAAATTCCGAAATATGGAGGTAAACATTTGAAAAAGTTTAATCATTTGAAGGAAATAATCTTTTAATCGATATTCTATATCTTTTGCAGTGATCTCAAAATGAAAGTTTCATCATTTCAAATTCATATGCTTATTTTTACAAATTTAGGTGTAAATTAAAATTCTTGTAATTATATTATATGAGATTTAAATAATCAAAATCTAAATCTAAAATTCTTATTCGTTGTGTTATTTGATCAATGATTCTTTTACCTTCTGATATGTTTTTAAAATGTTTAGTATTACAGATTAATCGATGCTAAGTTTATTGAGAATGATTCGCGAGATTATCAATGGGTTGAAATGGATGTCACCGAGGCAGTACGAAGAAGACGACCAAATATGAATAAGGTATCTATGTTAAATTTACGGCATTTTTTTTCTAAACTCATATGAAATACTTTTGATAAAAAAGTAATCAACTTAGACGTAATTTTTAAAGTCAGCAGAAATATCATCTTAACCAGTTATGACCATAGCTATATATACTTTCATCTATTTGTATTAAGACCTGATCAGTGTTGTTTTGATAATAAATTTACAGTATTTTAGGTCGATTTTGCAGTGAAGTTATCGAGTAATGACTTGGAAACACTTGCTAGAACATCATATCAATCAACAGCACATTCCGTCTCATCGTACAATAAGAAACAGTTTTCTGCATTGGTCGTTTATGTTCAAATTGATAACACTGCTAGGGTTTGGAATATTCGAATTTCTTATCCTATCAAATTTGATTACACTTGAATGAGTATAGAATTTCTGAATAATTTATTAAATAATTTGGAAGTACTTCTTTACGATAATAATATCATACTCATGATTTCTTGTATCAGCTGCTTGCATTGAAGCATTTTTTAATTTTTATAGTTATAAAATGCAAATATATAAAATTAAGATTTTTTATAATTGTAATTTTTAATAAATTTTCATGATTTTTATAATTGTGCAAATATATAAAAATAAGATTCTGAAAAAAAAATTGTTTTTTCCTGTTTTAGGTGCGAAAAAAACGGAAAGCAAATACACGGCGACGACATCAACACAAAAAACATGATCATAGATCAACTGATAAGAATTACTGTCGTCGTACACAACTTTTAGTTGATTTTAATGAATTAGATTGGCAAGATTGGATCTTAGCTCCATGTGAGTATTTGAATATTTGTATCTTTATCATTTTTAATTAATACAAAATTCGAAGAAATTCCTAAGGTTTGTGTTTTGTGGTGTTATCAGCAGTATGCTTTATATAATTTAAATAAGATGAAAGTTTTAAATAAACTTATAGTTAAACTAATACAGCTATCTAAACATAGAATGATAAGTGTAATTTAATGAAGAGTAAAATTGCAGCAAGCTATAGCGCTTATCAATGTCAGGGTGAATGTCCAAATCCATTGACCAGTCATTTCAACACGACGAATCATGCCATAGTACAAGGTCTTATTAACTCAGTGGATCCAAGTTTAGTGCCAGCTCCATGTTGTGTTCCAACTGAAATGGAATCTCTAGCAATCCTTTATATCGATGTTGAAGGTAAAATTGTCATCAAGAACTATCCTGACATGGAAGTACTCAGTTGTGGATGTCGCTAGAGGATGTAACATTTTGCGTCAAGTCATCTCTACTGCATTCATTCCTTTTTGATAATTTCTTTGGTAAGTGTCAATCAGTTAACATTGATTTATCATGCCATATCTGAACCACAAAACAACTTTTATTGTGCTGCTGTTTACTCGATAGCAATCAAGAAATGAATTTGAATTAGAAATATTCAGAAAAAATGCTCAATGATTAAATTCATTTTCATTGATTGACCTTTCATTTTTAGTTCTAACTAGATATAAGATCAAAATGGTAACTACCTTAACTTCAAATATCATTTAAGGTAGAAATTGAACTATTACAGGCTATTAATTATAAACTTATCGGCATTTTTCAACAGATTTCCAATTTTTTTAATTTTAAATTTCAGATAACAAGATGTCAGCTGCTGGTTTGATGTGATACTGTATTCTACGGCAATAATTATTCCAATTAAGTGCATTTTGTGTTTTTTCATCGGCGTGTTTCGAAGCGGAATTCGGGTCCCCGCTTTCATTTTATTTATTTGCTTTCCAGCAGCTGCAGTTATTCCTTTTTTTTTCTTCTCTCGAATTCATCCATTAATTTGCATAATTCTAAATTAGTTACCAATAGTAACAAATGAAATTTTCACTTCATTTCAAATTTCACAAAGCATTAATGAGGGAGTTTATTACTTCCAATTTAATTACTTCAGTGTGATGGAACATATCGATTGCTTTTACTTGCTCTTAAAAGGTAAACTTTAATTTAAAAGATGGATAAGAATAAGTAATTAATAGTAATCTCCGGTTGATAAAACGTAAGGGTTATTGGATTCCATAATTGCGGGGAGATTTAGGATAACAATTTTAATATTCAGAATAATTTGACCAAAATTTCTCTGTGAACGATTTGAAAAGTGATAAAAAAGTGAACACCTTGTATTAGGCAATATTGATAAAATTGAATGAAAGAATTTAGTAATTCATTCAAGCTGATAACAAAGATTTAGATATTATCAGTTAAGGAAATTATATATAACAGTGTTAGTGATAAATAGGACTAAAGAAATAAAGCGAAGTCAAATATTTCTAATCATTTATTTCTCTTTATTGAAATTACATTTTATGAAAATTGACGAAATGAGACGAATAATTTCAAAAAGTTTGAAGAATAATTGTATGTTTATAAGTGTTTTAATGTGAAATTGAAAGTTTTTTCAATGAACTTTTTTAAAAATAAGTAACTTTGCAAAGCATTAAATCACATTGTGAAGAGTTTTAACTGAAATATCTTCTTTAAGTCGCAAGTCGCCTTTAAAATTTTATTTGGAATCTTTTATTGAATAACGCTCATATCGCGATAAATTATTATTATTATTATTGCTTATTATCATTATTATTATTATCATTATTATTATTATGATTATTATCATTATTATTATTATTGTTTATTATTAATATTATAATTATTATTTTTTGTATATAAATGTATATAAAAGGATGTTGAAGTTTTTGTCATCACAATTATTTATTTGTTTATTTTTTAATTTTAAATTCAGTTCTAAAATTTAATTTTGCAAATTTTGGAAACTATTTCATATGAAAATTGAAAAAAGAATCCGTATAAGCACTAAGAAATTGCTCAAATGGAGAAAAAATTCTCGTTTTTGATAAAATGGTGAAAATAGTAAAGATAATAGGAATGATCTAAATAGTTGACAGCTTTATGATATTTCACTTTGTTTGATAAATAAGTTAATTCATGCAGAGAAGAAAAGAGGAAGAATGGTTTTCATGACGAATTCATCAATATTATTTTAAAATTTTTGAGAATTTCATTTTATTGCTTTTCCTTGCAAAGAACAAAAATCCATCACAAAATAATTCTTTGGAATTTAGTAAATTTGATTAATTGGAAAATTAATTAATTATTTTTTCGATCGCAAATTTTTATGAATAATATTTTCGGTGAAATTTTTTTAAATAACGATGTTTAGCAGCTATCCTGGTTATTGAAATGCTTTATCTATCTAATGGTACTTAAAATTCGTTCTGTTAACTATTCTTTCCTTTTAATTTATTCAACAAAATTCGTTCTGTTAACTATTCTTTCCTTTTAATTTATTCAACAAAATTCGTTCTGTTAACTATTCTTTCCTTTTAATTTATTCAACCTTTTTTTTGCTAAATTTTCTGTATCTAAAATTTATTGTGGTATGTGACTGTATTGAAAATAAATGCCTTAAAAGTACTTCAACAATCAAACTGTTGTAAATTAAGTTAATATGAAATATTTTTGGAATCATAAAAATGATTTGTTATTTCTATATCATTATTTTCTTTTGAATTTATTACAGAGTATATAATAATTTCTTATATTTTGAAGTTAAATTTCTTATTTTGATTTTATGAAAAAATATTAAACTATTTCTCTAAATGATTTCATTAATTTCCAGGTATGTTAAAAGAAATCAATGCTACTAATTTCATTAAGATTTTTTTTTTCACCAATTCTATATTAATGTCGATGTATTCCAAACTCTGTCGATATTTTAAAGAAATTAATTGAATTCAACTTTCAAATTCTTGTCTTTTAAATTTCATAATGCCATTTGTTTGAAAATGTAATCGATATTAATTTTTTAATTAAAAATTAATTTCATATAAAGTAAATTCAGATACTCTTATCCTCTCTTATAATATGCAGAATACTACTGAATCCTTCGTTTTATTGATCTCAGTTTAATCTGTTCTTAGCATACTTTCTTTTAAATATTATTTATTACATGCTCAAATTATTTTTCCCTCTTTAAAATTCATTGAAATAAAATTATTTTTTGAATAAAAATTCATATTTTATGTCATTCAAGCAAAATGTGAAGGAAATTTTGCAAATATTTTAATTTATTTCCTTAAAAAAGATTGAATTATGAATAAATTAAGGAAAACTGGTTTGATACATTTATTTATTTTACTATTGTTGTTTACTCATAATTTGCAGTCATTAACTTCTCAACTGTTCATAATGAAGTGAATTCAAAGAAAGGAAATAATACTATTAATTCTATTATTATTACAATTGCAGCCAATCCACTGAAGTGAAACAGAAATGAAACATTTCAGATAAACAAAATCAGGTTATATATCGGAAGTGAAACTGGAAATTTTAATTTCTAAATATTTACTTATTGACAACAGTTTTAATTTAACAGCAAAGCAGAAATATTTCAACATTTGCGATAATGAAATTATAATGATATTTAAATTAGTTCCCGAAAAAATAATGTAGTAAAGCATTATATGACAGGTTAACTTTAAAATAGAATAATTTGCAGTAACTGATACATGTATATCTTAGTGGATAGCTAAACAATTCAAATAATAATTTTGCTGTTAGAAGTTAATAGTAAGATTTTACTGTTTAAAGCCATTTATGTCAACATAATTTTGGAACTATTGATGATGATTGCTTCGACAAATGCAGTTTTCTCCTTTCTTTTTAATTTTTAATGTTAATTTAGTAATGAAATTTATGTGATGATAGTAGTAGGCATGTAAAGGTGTAACAATGGCCTTGAAAGATACGACGTAGATCGAAATTGTTCAACTCATCATTATACAATTTCACTAATGCTCACAAACCTCTACTTTCTTCTGCTTCTATTTGTATATTTTAATTATTTGAAAATAATAGAACTTTATTTATAAAATAGAATTTCACATTGAAATTATTAAGCTTACAACTCATATGCAAATATTTGGCAATCACTCTTTGAAGGTCAGTAAAACGATGTTTTATATGGGAACGAATATTTTCGCACTTGTTGCTTAGAAAAAAAGTGAGAAAGTAAAGATATAGTTGAACAAATGGTAAGATATTGAAAGATTGAAGCTGTTGGCATAGGTGCATTAGAAATGAGTGTATAAGTTTAGAAGTTGATAAAATGCATAAAAATTAATAACAAATTTAGAAATTCATAAAATGTTAAATTGAGAAGAAAAAGTTAATGTGGTAACTGATAAAATTGTTTTGTTGGATGATAAGAAAATGTTATCAATGATTATCTTGATGGATTGTTCAATGAAACAAATCCATCTCAACAATCCGTCAAGTGTAGAAACAAATTAAACAAGCATTATTTCAATTAATTTTGTTGATTTAACATCAAGCAAACACATTTTAATGTTTGTGATGTAATGATAAATGATACACTTAATAATGTATTACCTCAAATTAAGGATGACTTTTATACTGTCACTAAATATGTTATACATTTTTCTTACATTATATTTGCAACAGTTGTAATTAATCAAAAATGAGTGTAAACAGATTCTCTCGATTATACTTGATTTCGAATAATTTTCAAAAAAGATTATTTTAATTAATTTGAGATGATTCATATTAACTATAATTGAAAGTCTTATTGACAGTCTATTTATATGACATTGGTCAGATATATGACCTTTCAAAAAGATATCTATCTCTTCATTCTTTCGTTATATTTCAACTATTTTTTGTTTTGCAAAAAGAAAATATCTAATATAAATTGAAGTTATGGGGAGTGAAAAATAAGATAAAATTTGCTTTATGTAAAAAATATCGGCCTATTGTAAGAATTTTTTAAATTTAAGAGCATATAAATGTCTACGTTATAGAAATAGTTATTGGTTTTCAAATATTTGCATAACTGAATTTCATTAAAAATAATTTTAGTTTATAGGAAAAGAATTGTTAGAGAGTTTTTTTACTTTAAATAGTATGCCAATATGAATATATACGTCAGCTAATAATATTAAAAATTAAAATAAGCAACAAAAAATGATATCTTATTTGTGCTTCCTGAAATTGAAATAAATTCATAATATGAAAATATTTAAGTAATTAATGTATCGTTATGCTTTCGTTATTTATATTATAGAAATCTTTCGATTCAAATATTCTCAATGAAATGATTTGATAGTGATTTTGCTCAATATGTTAATTTATTATTCTAAGGAATATTATAAATAATTAACATCAAATAATT